GATATGATATAATCACAGTATAAATTTCACACATAAATGTCATTTTGCCCTGTGATTTTAGCTTGAATTCATTAAAAAAAAGTATTAAGTTTGCAAGAAAAATTAATTTCTAAAGTCATTCAGTGTTTGATCATCGTAGTTAAAGGCAGTTCTCATTTAGAAAAAAAATTAATTATGTTTTTTATTAATTTTTAGAGAGAAAAAGGGAGATGTCTAGAAATAGAGACATCAATAATAGAGAAACATTATTGTTTGCCTCTTTTACGTCCCCTACTGGAGATTGAGCTCAAAACCTGGGCATGTGCCTAAATGGGACCCATTTAGACACAACGGCTGGGCTCATTTAGAAAAAATTTCATCTCAGCTCCATGATAAAAAAAAAAAAAAAATTGCAGTAAGACTTTACTACCCCCAAGCCACCAAACTGATGTGTGGAAGGGCAAGTCAGGATATTGAGCTTCTATTTCTGAACCAAACTCACCAAACTAATGATTTAGAAAATTTTTTATTGATTCTAGAGAGAGGAAGGTAGAGAGAAACACAGATCAGTTGCCTCCTACATATATTCATCTGGATCAAACTCACAACCTGGACATGTTCCCTGACCAGGAATCAAACTTGACACTTTTTAATGTGAGGACAATGCTCCAACCAATTGAGCCTGTGATGGGTTTTAAGTCCATGAGAGTGAATAAAGGTCACTGTTGACTTTTGTTCACTAATACATATGGATTCAAATATTTTCCACAAAGTATCTGTTGATGATTAATACAATGAGCATAGGTTTTAATCACTTTACAGGCTTTGTAAATTTGTCCACCTCAACTTTTTTCTTCTTCGCATATATTTTTACCACCATTGGTTGCAACACTTGTGCAGCTTTGTTGCAGGTTCCATTTAGGGTTGTACTGAATTAGTGATTTCTCAACTCCTTTGAAATATTCTTGCCTGAGGTTGTTTCATGCAAATTAGTCATAAGTCTAATTCTTCAGTAACTACAAAGTCTGCACTGGCTTCTGGAATAAACAGCAATAACTGAGCTGTATCAGTAACTTCTGCCAATTCATCAATAACCAAGGAAAGCCACTCAAAATCACTGGCCTTTAAAAAATTATTGATGTTTCTCCCAATATTCTCAAGTCTTTGGACAACTGTTCTCACCAAAAAGCCAATATAATAGTCTTAAGCAAATTTTAAGTTTTGTGGGCCAAGGCAGAATTGAGTAGATTATCTAAGTACTTACTTCCTATATGCTTTATAATATACTTTTTAAAATGATTTAAAAAAAAACATTTTATTTGAGTGGAAAACTACCATATTCCATTGCTTGGTGAAGGTAAGTTCCACCACAGTGGAGTCTAAACACCGCTACAGTTTACTCATATGTCATTTGTGTACAATCAATTAACATGACTGACAAGGTGGCCCAATGACTTGACTTCCTACTAGTTCCATTGACTAAACCAACAGTCATTTCACATCATGCCAAATAAGAAAAAGCACCAAAAATACAGACTAACAAATGTCCACTCTTTGAGTTTTTTTGTGATTGAAATGTTTAATAGTTCTCTAGCTTGGGATCTCTAATACTGTTTAACAACTAACTTAATTTCTGTGCAGATTATAAACTAGCAAATGTCTTCTAACCCCAAATACTTCTAAAACAATCCTGTATTTGACCACTTAGCTTTAAAAACCATTGGTTTGGACACACTGAAATGTTGTTGTTTTTTCATTCCAATATTGTCATGTCATACATTTTTATTTATTTTTTTTTAATATATTTTATTGATTTTTCACAGAGAGGAAGAGAGAGAGAGATAGTTAGAAACATCGATGAGAGAGAATCATCAATCAGCTGCCTCTTGCACACCCCCTACTGGGGATGTGCCCGCAACCAAGGCACATGCCCTTGACCGGAATCAAACCCGGGACCTTTCAGTCCACAGGCCGACGCTCTATCCACTGAGCCAAACCAGTTTCGGCATGTCGTACATTTTTAAACGATGGAGAATTTCATGATCATCACTTGAATGCTTAGTAGCAGCCTGTGGTCTGTTACTTTGCATTGCAAATTTATAAAGAGGGATTTTGGAACTTCAATCTCGGTCATCCAGACGATAGTCTTTCCCTCTATGATGAAACTGATGCTTTTGGAAGTTCAAAGTTGTTCGGGGCCCCTTCTTCACAAGTACTGGAGAAGGAGGCCTGAAACTTGTTCTTTCAGCCAAAGAACTTTAGTTACTGTCAAGAGACCATCCCTTCCTTTCCTCCTTGTTTGGTTGCCACAGGACAGAAGGCTGGGGCTCTTCCTGATATCTGAAGAGCCTTTTCAGGGAAATCCATTCTGCTGGTGTTTCTTTTTGTTGTTTTTACATTTTTATTGATTTCAGAGAGGAAGGGAAAGGGAGAGAGAGATAGAAACATCAGTTATGAGAGAGGATCATTGATTGGCTGCCTCCTGTGTGTCCCCTCCTGGGATTGGAGCCCACAACCCTGGCATGTGCCCTGGCAGGGAATCGAACTGTGACCTTCTGATTCATAGATTGATCCTCAACCACTGCACCACATTGATGGGGCCCACTGGTGTTTCTTAATGCTAATCCTAAGGCTTGCCCCACCTCCACATTTTATAAAGTTCTCTTTTATACACCTACCTCATAAGCAGAGTTACCATAGGTTTAGAATTCTTTTTCGTTTTTTAAAAAATGTTTTTATTGATCTTAGGAGAAGGGAGAGGGATAGAGATAAAAACATGGACTGTCTCCTGGAGCCCCCGACCCAGGCATTTGCTCTGACCTGGCATCAAGGCTGAACTCTTGGTTCATGGGTCCACCCACGCTCAACCATTGAGCCACCAGGCCAGGGGGGTTAGAATTCTTATTCCCAAAGGGCGGGGAGAGGGAGTGGGTTGGAAGAGGTTTATGGGGGGAAAAGGAGGGACTATGTAACTCTTTCAACGATAAAGATTAAAAAGATTATTATTCCCACATGGCTAGCGAGTGGCAAGCAAGGCCTCAAGCCAGGTGTTTGGGGGCTGTGTGACTGGTACAAATTGAGAGCCAGAGGAGCTGGGGAGAAGCGCCTGAGTCTGGGGGTGGGCTGGGAGTGATGCTGACAACACACCTGACCTGTACCATTCTGGGCAGGCCCCAATGGAAAGGACGTTCCCCGCATTGGTTCTACCATCACCCTTATACCTAAATTCCTATATTCTCTACGGAACCGAGCTGAGGAAAGCAGTGCCCCCTGGCGCCAGCTCAGGGGGCTGAGCAGCTGCGCCGTGAGCGCCCCTTAGTTATGGGTCTGGGGCCGCGGCTGCGCGCTCTCTGAGCAAACACTTGGCAGCCGGAGCCTCGACGGAAGGTGGGCGCCGCTGCACGCTCCGCGGCCGGGTTGGTGGGAGAGGCGGGGCGGGGCGGGGGCTGGAGGGCGCTGGACTGGGCCTACACGGCGCCGGGCGGGGCCTGCGTGGGCGGGGCTTGGGGCGGGGCACAGAGGGCGCTGGGCGGGCCTGGACGGCGGGAGTTGCCGGGCGGGGTGGGCGGGGCCTGGACGGCCGGAGTTGCTGGGCGGGGCCTGGGCGGCGGGAGTTGCCGGGCGGGGTGGGCGGGGCCTGGACGGCCGGAGTTGCTGGGCGGGGCTTGGACGGCGGGAGTTGCCGGGCGGGGTGGGCGGGGCCTGGGCGGCCGGAGTTGCTGGGCGGGGCCTGGGCGGCGGGAGTCGTTGGGCGGGGCTGGCGCCCTCAGAACCGTGTGCCGTACTTTGGGGTCCCAGCGGCCGGCTGCGCACAGGCTGCCGGACCCTCGGACAGACATGGTGCGCTCCCCGGGAGAAGGAAATGGGGCCGCTCCCGCGGGCGCACCCGGCGAGTTACCAGGAGCCTCCACGCTGCCGGGAAGTAGGCGGGAGCGGTGCGGCCGCGCTGTCTCTGTGAGACCGTGTTCCCGCTGACACCGACGGTGAGGAGCCTAGCCCCAGGTCCCGGGAAACCCCAGAGGATGGGCATTTGAGGATTCAGGTCTCTGGGCGTGGAATTTTGGGAGGTTATGAATTGGGGAGGGGGCCTGCTTTGAGTCAAAGCCCAGGGGTACCTTGTTTTAACAGGGCTCAGGTGACCTGAGCAAGGCCAGGTTCCAAAGGGAGGAGAGGTCTGGCTCAGGGCCCACTCGCGGCTTGGTCCTTTATGGTCTTGCTAAGCCCAGCCAGCTTGTGAACTGTGGGTGAATACAGGAAGCGCCAGGCCTCTGTGGTGGGTGGGGAGGCAGAGGAACCGACTACTGTCAGCTGTCGGTGGCCTTGGCCACCCTGTTCTTCAGTTTCCTGAGCTGAAAGGTGCAGCCTTGCCTGCCTATGGGCCCCAATGAGGCAGCAGACCCCCATAAGACCTCAGAGAGCACAGCAGCAAGGGTGGAGGGGTGGCTGAGCACTGTGCCTCCCTGGTACCCACTGAGAGTTGGCCCACTGGCACCAGGGAGAAGAGGCTGGGTTGTTTGATGACAGTGAGTGGCAGAATTGAGGATTGTGAAGTCATAGTGTAAGTGGGATGCACAGGTGGGGCCTGGGGCTGACTGCCTGGCAAGAGGAAAGGTGTTTATCGCCCGGGCAGACCAGTACTTCCTGCTCCTGGAAGGGAGCCTCTGGGATCCGCAGGGCACACCTGGTTGCCATGGTGGACTGATGAATTGGGTAAGGCCACCCTACCACCAAGATCCCTCTTCCCAACCTACACAGGAAGGGAAGCAGTCCCATGCCATTCTGGAAGCCTAAAGGCCACTCATGCCATGGGGAAGGAAAGCAGTAGAGAGACTGAGTGGCATATCCTGCTGCCCCCCTTTCTCCCAAACCTCCTCCTGCCCCAGCTCTGTGAGTGTTGTGTTGTCCTGGGTGTTTGGCTTCCAGGATGTAGGGCTCCAGGGCCTGGGAATATGCACTGGGGAGCAGATGATCCTGAGGATTACCACTGACCCACCCCTACTTCTCCAGATGCAGAGGCCTCCATGGCTGTGCTAAGCCTTCTGTTCTTGGCAGTGATGTATGTTGTTCACCACCCCCTGATGGTCAGTGAACGGATGGACCTGGACACACTAGCCAGAAGTCGGCAGCTAGAGAAGCGCATGAGTGAGGAGATGCGCCAGTTAGAGATGGAGTTTGAAGAGAGAAAGCGAGTAGCTGACCAGAAGCAGAAGGTGGAGAACTTCTGGAGAGGAGACACATCCAGTGACCAGTTAGTGCTGGGAAGGAAAGACATGGGGTGGCCGTTCCAAGACGAGGGCCAGGAGGGACCGCTGAGCTGGATGCTGGGAAACCTGTGGAATGCTGGCCTCTTTTGCCTTTTTCTCATCTTCGAGCTTCTGCGACAGAACATGCAGCACGAGCCGGCCTTTGATTCCAGCAGTGATGAGGAAGAGGAGGAAGTCCGGGTAGTGCCTGCCACCTCCTACAACTGGCTTACCGACTTCCCTTCGCAGGAGGCCCTGGAGTCCTTTTACAAATACTATGTCCAGAATGCTATCCGGGACCTGCCCTCCACCTGCGAGTTTGTGGAGAGCTTTGTGGACGACCTCATTGAAGCCTGTCGGGCACTCAACCGCCAGGTGGTCAGCCCCCAAGAGGCTCGCCCGCAGCTGGAGGACTGCCTGGGCATCGGGGCTGCCTTTGAGAAGTGGGGAACCCTCCATGAGACCCAGAAATTTGATATCCTGGTGCCCATTGTTCCGCCCCAGGGCTCCACATTTGTGCTGGAGATGAGGGATCCATCCCTAGGCCGCCGCTGTGGCAGTGTGCTGGTAGAGTCGGAATGCGTGTGCAAACGCGAGAAGCTTCTGGGCGATGTGCTGTGCCTGGTGCACCACCACAAGGACCACTCGCCCCTCATGGGCAAGTGCAACAACTCCATCAAAGCAACCCTCTGCACCGGCTCCCACCTGGACGTGTGCAAGACCGTACAGTGGTTCCGGAACATGGTGAGCAAAGCCTGGGCCCTGGTGGCCCACAAGTATGACTTCCAGCTCAGCCTCCCACCGTCCACCACATCCTGCAAGCTCAGGCTGGACTATCGCTCGGGCCGCTTTCTCTCAATCCGCTTGGTCCTGGGGGTGCAACGGGAAGACACCTTGGTCTACCTGGTGAGTCGGGCCCCTGACCAGGAACAGCTCACTAGTGTGGACTGGCCCGAGTCCTTAGCAGCCTGTGAGCACTTGTTCCTGAAGCTGGTAGGGCGATTTGCTCCAGAGAATACCTGCCACCTCAAGTGCCTCCAGATCATTTTAAGTCTCCAGGATCTTCAGAGCTTACCCCAGGGAGCAGCCTGTCCCATCCTTACCTCTTACCACTTCAAGACAGCCCTCATGCACCTGTTGCTGTGGCTGCCCCTCACGGACTGGCAGCACAGCATGCTCTCCCAGCGGCTCCAGGACATCCTCTGGTTCTTGGGCCGTGGCCTCCAGCAAAGGTCCCTCCATCATTTCCTCATTGGTAACAACTTCCTGCCCCTGACCATCCCGATCCCTAAGAAATTTCGGAATGCCGAGCCTGTCAATCTCTTCCAACACCTGGTGCTAAACCCCATGGCGCACACACAGGCACTAGAGGAGTTCCACAGCCTTCTGACCCGGGTGAAAGCTCTGCCGTGTGCCCCGTTGGTCGGGGCACATTAATGTAAAGGCCCTTAATAAAGGGAAGAAGGTATTTGTGATTCTTCAGGCTGCAAAAGAGTTTATTTTTCCCATACGTCACATACATATATTTTTCACATACATCACATACATTTTTCACATAGATATGCCTTTCCTTTGTGAATAGGAGTTATGATAAAGACACTTTAAAGAGTATGTGAAGTAGTCACAAAGATGGGGTCCCAGTGAGTCTTCTGAGTTTTTCTTCTCCTGACTTAACTTGCATCCTGACCCACAGAGAGACCAGGAAAACGGATGTTGTGGGAGCATCTTGCTGCTAAAGAGTTAGATCCAGAGGTGGCTTGGAAAGTTGTGTTTTGTATCAACACTGGAAGTGAAAGAATCAGAGAATACCTCCATTCCAGCTTACTCCTCATATTTTAGGAGCTAACTTTTCAGACTTTCACTATTTGAAGATACAACCAAGATGTTCATTTTCTCTTTTCTCGATTTAGCCCAATCTTTATATCTCAATATTATTGTTTTTATGCTTCTGAAAACATTCCAATACTACCCAAATAATTTATTAGCATTGATTCACAAATATCAAGTCAGTAGTGACCTGTCCCATAATTGAGATAATGTATTTACTAAAATTAAAGAGCAACATCTGATGACCTCCTCAGTGCCTGAAAACATTATAAAATCCTTAGCAAGGATGATCTTTTGGGGGCTCTGAGATGAATAATTGTTTCTGCAGGGAGCCACTTGTTTGGTGAATGGAAAGGAGTTCTAGCTACCATGTGTAGCTCTGCTTTTCTCAGCTTGGTAACGCCTTTGTATTCTCTTTTCAGAGACCAGAGGAATTACTTGAACTACATTTGTTGTTTTGCAAAACAAGGTCATAACGATTGACCACTGGCAGGGCTGGACTGGAAGAGATTATGAAGCAGTCCAACTCAAAGTAGAGATTTGGGAGATGTGATTGATGTATTTTTCTGTGCTTTAAAAGCCTGAGGAGGAGTGCTAAGAAATGTGAAAATAGTTGTGGGTGCGGTTGTTTGGGAAATCCAATGTTGTTCCTCCCTTGCAAGCCTGAAAGATCTGCTCAGAGGAGGACCTGGCCCCACATTTAACTTGACCTCGGTGGGATTAAGATGTTTGGTTGTAGAATCCACACCCTCCACCAAGCAGAAATTACAAGTGTCCCAGGAACAGATGCCAGTCAATACTTGGGGCTCCCTCTGCTCAGTAGCTAGCTACTGTTGTCTGCTGGTATCTGCCAGGTATTGCTTTCAGGTTAAGGTGCAGTGATGGTTGGTTCCATGCTGGCGGGATTTTGGTGTTTTATAAATATCCATGTTTTTTGTTTAGAAAATAACTGGTGTTTCTTTCTAAATCAATAAATGAGACTATTTTCTGTATCAGTTGGAATCTGTGCAATTACATATCCGTGCAGGTCAACATTCTCACAGCCTGTTCCCAAGAAGTTCCTGTTACCCTGAGGGCTCATCTAGCACATCCTGGTGTTTCGCAGCATACCTGGAACCAGTCTGCCCTGTGGTTTCCTAGTGGCCTGGCCAGGAAAGAATCATTCAGAATGTTAATACCTAAGTCATTCATTTTCATGGGGCCCAAACCAAAATATCAGCCAAATGTAAAGATCTTAGCGGCTACAAACAACCTAAGTTCTAGAGGGCACAAGTCAGTCAGGTAGTGAGAAATTTGAAGTTCTAGCATTGGGGTTTCTAGTGTAGTAAGAGGCAAGAAAGAGAACAAAGTTATGAACGGGCAGAAGATTACAAGGAACAGCACAGCTTGGGTGGGGCAGCAGATGTAAGAGAGAGTATAGCAAAAACAAGTAGTGGGAAGAATGGAGCTGTAGTGCTCTGGGAATACGCTCACAATGAAAGGGGAAGCCAGATATTTAGGAAGCTGAGCTTTCTTCTAAAACAATACTGGCTGGCACCCAGGATAAGACAGCAGCCATAGTAATGAGAATAGTAGCTTTCATTGAGCATTGCCAATGTTCTAAATGCTTCACATCTGGTAACTCATTTAATCCTCACACTAACACCCCACAGAGTTGGTGCTTGATCTTCTCCATGTTACCAATGAGATAACAGGCACAGAGCACACAACGTTCCAGGGTCACAGCTGGTAAACAGAGCCTGCAGGGAAGTACCTGTCCCAGCAGGAATCAACACCACATAGGGCTTAAACTTATTTTTTTAAACATATTTTTATTTATTTTTAAAAATATATTTTATTAATATTTTACAGACAGAAAGGGAGAGGGAGAGAGAGTTAGAAACACTGATGATAGAAAGAAACATTGATCAGCTGCCTCCTGCACACCCCCTACTGGAGATATGCCCGCAACCAAGGTACGTGCCCTTGACTGGAATTGAACCTGGGACCCTTCAGTCCGCAGGCCGACACTATCCTCTGAGCCAAACCGGTTAGGGCAGGCTTAAAGTTAGCTGAAAAGCAAAAAGCATGTATTAATTTTAAGCTAAAGGGAGGTATGTTGTTCGGAAATTCCAGAAGACAGAAATTGTTGGTTCTTAGCCCAGTCTTTAGGAGGTCAGGAATTTATATCACATACAAAATTAAAGGCATTTGCTCAGAGACCAAAAGGAATGTAAAGCCATTTTAACTATGTGTCCTTTGAGCCCCAGTGACAATATGGTTTATATTATAAGCCAACTGCAAGCTGGAAGGTCAAGGCAAATTTGAAGCCAAAAAATTGCTGTTCAGGCAACTGATAACACTGTTCTTCACCTAAACTGAGGCCCTTTGCTTTCATTTAGGGGAAGCAGATCTCAGTGAGGAGTGAAATGAGCAAGACCATTGGCCTCTGAATTGCTTTTCTGCTGAGAAGGAATGGGGGAGGGGCTCCACTACTTTACTTTTGTACACACAGGGTAATTGAGTTTTGCATACCATTGACACCACTGATAAACCACTTAATCTTTTTGCCTCCTCTGTACTCCTAATCCCCCAAAACAAAAGATGGGCTGGGTGTGGGCAGTGAATGAGCTGCCTGCCCTCAGAGAGAGCAGGAGGTGGAGCTGGCCCCTTCCTCCCAGAAATGGCACCAGAGCAGGAGGTTCCATTATAACCATAGGACAGCTGCATGCCTCACCTAATGGGTCACCGAGTAGCCTTCCTTTGCCAGGAGTTCCAAGCCAGCTCTTCAGAGGCTTCCAGTTCTGGCCACCTATCACCCCAACCCCCAGTGCTCTTAGTTTGTGCAGACATGGAATCCAGAGGCTCACTCTCCTGGACCTTCGCTCACACTGACCCCATGTGCTCACTCATGGGAGTTTATCTATTACTTATTCCTCATAAACCCCAGTGAAATGTGGTCTTCTCATCACTTTTTAAAAAATATTTATTTTTATTGATTTCAGAGAGGAAGGGAGAGGGAGAGATTTAAAAACATCAATGATGAGAGATCATTGATTGGCTGCCTCCTGCACGCCCCCTACTGGGACAGTGCCTGAAACCCAGACATACCCTTGACCAGAATCAGACCCGGAATCCTCCTGTCCTCAGACAAATACTCTTATCCACTGAGCCAAACTGGCTAGGGCTATTTTATTTATTTTTAAACATGTTTTTATTGATTTCAGAGAGGAAGGGAGAGGGAGACATACAAACATCAATGATGAGAGAATCATTGATCAGCTGCCTTCTGCACATCCTCCAACTGGGGATGGAACTCACAACCAGCATGTGCCCTGACTGGGAATTGAACTGTGACCTCCAGGTTCATAGATAAATGCTCAGCCACTGTACCACACCAGCTGGCCAGTTGGGCTCATCACTGTTTTATAAATGGGGAAGAAAATGGGGCCCAGGAGGTTAAGATGCCCAATTTAGGATTTAAACTTATCTTCCAGTGTCCCTCATTCAATATGTATTTAAGTGCTTGCTATGCCCAGGACTAGCATCAGGCCCTGGGAAAAAAGTGTTGAGCAAGGACACAGCTTCATCCTCATGGAACTGACAGTCTAGAGAGGGGGCAGACATGAATTGTCACCCCAGCACATGTAAGATTTCACAGGTGACACGTTCTGCTAAAGCCTCAGTACAGATGCTGAGTAAGTATATCAGGGAAGGTCTCCCTGAAGAAGGGATGTGACCTAATTGGATGAAGAGGGGACAAAGAGGATCCTATGTGGAGCACATGGCGTGTGCAGAGGCCATAAGTCCATGCTGGAAGTGGGTCTGGTGAGGGCCAGTCTGAAAGAAGGCCCACGTGACCGGAGGGCAGGGAACAAAGGGGGGTAAGATGAGGCTGGAGAGGCTGCAGGGACAGGACCCTGCCAAGACCTTGTAGACTACTTTAAAAGTTCCCAGAGCAGTGGAGTTTTTTTTAATGTGCAGAGGCTAATAAAATTAATACTTTCCTTCCCACCTAGGCTAATAATCAAATGAACAGAGGCAAGTTAACAGGAGAAAAATGTTTAATACATGTTCCTGGGGAATTCACACAAACATGAAAAGTTCAAAGACACTATTGAGGCAACATTCAATATTTATGACATTTTTGGACAAAGAAAAGGGATTGGTGAATGGGTAAAATGGGCGATTTACAGGTGGCTGAGGAAGAACGGATTATACACGGCAGAAAATTTTTGCCAGGCAATTCAGAAACAATGGGACATGGGCTATCTAGCTAACAGGCCTGGACTCTTCCTGACTAAAGCCAGGGTAAAGATTTTTAAGATGATTAAGCCAAGACTCCCTTCCTAAAGCAGATCTGCCCGAATCTTAGACAGCAAAGGAGTGAGGGTCAAAGGTTCTGAGTCTTGTTTCTCAACAAACAGCTTAAAATCAATATCCCAAAAAGACAGCTTAAGGGTGGCAAAAATTTAGTTCCCTTCAAATGCTTTTAGACTTTGGGGGGAAAATAACAGGTCAGATTTGTACTTAGCAACCACCACCCTGGACCCCACGATTACGGGGTCAGAGCAGGTGTGGGGTTACTGCAGACCTGCAAGATGGATCAAGGAGAGACATGCGACTGAAAA